TCCAGAAGGGCCTCACCAATGCCTTTAAAATATGTTCAGTAAATGGTCACTATTATCTATGTCACCTTAATTTCTTAGTATTGTCTGACTGATATTATCATCACAATTTATAAAGACAGAGGGCCTTAGAATCACTATGTGCTCAGTCACAAAACAAGTAACAAACAGGGTGCAAACTCAGGCCTAATTCCCAAGTCTGTGCATTTCCCATCAAACTGTGCTGCTTGGATATCAAACCTTTGATGTCACGTTTTAGATCAGCCTTGTTCTTTTACATGTCAGGATCAAATTGGAAGTCAGAGTATGTGTATCTTCAGGAGGAAAGAGTAGGGAAGAAGAGAACATGATTTCCTTGGGTACTATTATTGTAACAAATACATGTATGCAAATAATGTATGTTTATTGTGGAAAATTATAAAACTTACATAAACCAAAAGAAAAACTAAATAAAAATCATCTGCATTCTTCCTGTAAGCAGGCTGAGGTGACTTCTGAAAATTGCTGGCTACTCACTTGACCAAGCAAACCCCACAAAATCATGCAGATCAAGAGGTTCCAATCTTCATGTTCACTTTAAGAACACTCATGACACTGCCCAGGCCATCAAGGGTATGCGTACCTGAAAAGCCACCAAATATCCGAAGGGTGTCACGTTATAGAAGCAACATGTGTCTTTCTGCTGTTACAATGATAGAGTTGGGAGATGTGCCCAGTCCAAACAGTGGGGATGAACACAGGGTCAGTGGCTCCCCCAAAATATGCTGAATTTTTGCAGCACATGCTTAAAAATGCAGACAATAATGCTGAATTTCAGGGTTTAGATGTAGATTCTCTGGTCATTGAGCATATCCAGGTGAGAGAGCTCCCAAGATGTGGCACAGAACTTAGAGTTCTTGGGTGGATGAGCCCATACAGGAGCTCTCCCTGGCATACTGAGATGGTCCTACCAAAAAAGAGCAGGTTGTCCCTAAACCAGAAGAGGAGGCTGCACAGAGGAAAAGGATATCCTAGACAAAAATGAAGAAACGAAAACTGGAAATAAATGCAGCATAAATTAAATGTTAATGAAAGTAAAACAAAATCACTCACAATCCCACCATCTACAGATGTCTTGAGCTTCACCTGACCTCAGCAAGGCTGAGCAGGGTGTAACCGTGTGCTGGGACCTAACATCTCCCCTTTGTCACACAGACATAATCAGACTTTTGGTCCAGATAGTGCTGCAAATGTCAGGTGAGGTGGCGGCAGCAGAAAGATCTTTGGGTTCTTGACAATGATCACCGCTCTATCATAGTCTCATTTTAACATTTACAAAACATTTTAGCATTTGCATGATGTAAAACTGAATTTTAAAAAATGAGTGTTTTTTTAACCACCAAACTACCTGTTAAGCAAAGACTCAGTATAGGCAGATAATTCCATCTTTCCTGAAAACTCTAAAAAACATATTAAGAAGCCTGTTATTATATAACCAGGAGCAGTGTATTTCACAGAATTAGATGGTTGTAACCACCATATATTGCAGTCAAGATAACAACTAACAGACCTGGGTTTAAATCCTGGCTTCATCCCATAAGGTTATTTCATGACCGTGTACAAGTCATTCAATCATTATGGACTCAATTTACTTATCTGTAAAGTAGGGATAATGATATTGACTCTTTAGCAAGACTCTATAGGAATGCTGTGAGGATTAAATCATTTAAGATATGTAATGAAGTTAGCACAGCATCTTGCATGTGGGGAGTGGTAAAAGAAATTTTTATTAAGTTAAAATCTTGAAATTTTAAGAGATTAGGCCTTAATATTTTTTATATTTTTCTTGAAAATAGGATTTCTAGGAGATAACATTCTTCATTAGACAATGACTAGCTTTAAAGGCATAGCTATATTAAGAATTAAAATATTAGACTCTATTTAAAAAGATATAGGAATGAGTAACTCTTGCCTTGCTGATGAACTCACTAAAGAAATGCTTTATTCCAGGACTCAGTTGAATACACAGTGCTGTTCTGAATTCTTTTATTCATTCCTAATTAGTAACTTTTCTCATTTTCCAAATCTACCCACCTCCCTTCTCTCTCAGCAAGGGAGAAAAAAAAACGTTCTGTATGATTTTCCTACTTACTCCTTAACACTCTTCTCTTGCAGCTTCCTGGAGGGCAATTAGATAACTCGGTCAACTATTTGACCTCTTGTGCCAAAACCACAGGGCTGCTGTCCTTACCCGATACTCATACCAGCACCTTTTCTCCAGCAGCGAGCCTGTTCTCAGTTTTGTTCTCCAGCTGCCCAGTGTGGGGCGCAGCAGTCAGCACGAGTACGTAGGGCTCCAGCTGCAGAGCAGGCGCAGTGGCAGGGTTCCACAGTGTCTTCCCCACAGTTCATCTGAACAAGGCACCGGGATCTGAGAGCTGACTGTGGTGTGATTTGAATGTGGGTTGAGGCTGACTTTATTCTTTCTCCAATACCCTGGTGAACTGAGACTGTATGTATGCGTCAAAAACCTGAATATGTGATCATTCTTTGACTAAGAACAATTCTAGGGAAAAAAATCAGAAACGCATTTTTTGGAATAACTTAAATACCAAACAATAAGGAATTACATAAATAAATTATGATACAGACATGGAACTCTGCAGGCATTAAAAATAATTTTGTAAAAAATATTTATTGAAATAGAAAAATCTTTACAATGTGAAGTAGGCTATAAAACAATGTTTATCATTTCTGTGAAGAAAAATGTACATACACACATGGGAAAAGTACTAAGACATACATAAAAAGGTTAACGTTGTTATCTTTGAGCTATGAAATGTATTTTGTTTTTTACTTTGCACTTTTGGTGTTTTCCCAAAATTTCTGCATTAAGCTTGAATTTTATACATAGAAAAATGCAAAATGACCGAAATTTAATGAGAGAAAAGGAAGGGAAGGTGCCAGAACCCCAGGAAATATCTCCATTTATGGTGCTCGAGGAAGAAGAAACAACATCTAAGACTTGTACTTTTTAAGAACAAATTTTCCTTCTTGCTCATTTCTTGCTAATAGATCTATTTTAGCTTCCTAGTTGCCTATTAGTCTCATAATACTTAATCTTAAGCATCCAGATTAAAATAAGGGAAAATACACATTTTTTTTGATAAAACAAAACAAAAACATAACCCCAAACTAATACTTTTTATAGTCCTAGTGGATGAATGCTGGCCATAGACATAACAGCATCTTTGAAGTCTTCAAGAAGTCCTTTAGTTGAATACAGTTTAGGTAAGTAATCTTCCTGGGTAAAGAGGTACTTTTGGAAATTGTATTAATCCCCTACCATTTGTAAATGTGTTTATAGAAACAATAACTGTTTCTGTAGAACTGGAAGAATCCATTCCATTCCACCCTAGAGGGTTTAGGAGTAGTGACCGAGCTAATCCATCTCACATTTGGACACTGCTTTAAAAGCAGGGTTACCACACCAAATATCTCATACAGAGACCTTAACATGTAATTTATGCTCACACACACTAATAAATAGCTAAATAAAATAGTCTTCCATGAAAGTAAAGACAAAACAAAACAAACAAAAAATGCTGCATTCATATACATTAAATTTATTCACATAAAAATAAATAAGAAGATAAAAACATGTTAAAGAACCATATATATAAGGCAACAGGGAATTAGGCAAACTGAAAAAAGTGTTCTTGTCATGTAAATTTAGGATATTACAGTGCAAATGAGTATATTGTGAAGAAACTTTATTTCTAGATCTTATCAATGACCCAGAATAGTACAGCATATTCAAATAAATATTTGCTTTGAGAAACACCTGCTTTGAAAAAGACTTCCCACCTGGCCACAGTAATAACTGTAACGATTATGCAAGATTCAACATTACTTTTCAAGATTTGACTGCAAGTTTTTCTTACATAATTGAACTTACATGGCTATGAAAACTTAAGGACTTTTAAAATCTGGGGTTAGATGATCTTGAAGAAACTTCAAAGTGCTGTTAGCAACCAAAAGAATCTACAAAATACTAGCTTAACTGCAGCCAAAATATCACTGTAAAAAAGTGCATCCCAAGAAAACAGAGTTCCTTGAGGGCAAAGATTGCATTTGTGCACTGCTGCATCCTAGCATCTAGAACAGTACCTCCCAAATAGCAGACACTTGGTATTTTAATGAATGAAGGAAGGAAAGAGACCACTCCTAATGTATATTAGGAGTCAACCCAAACTCACTTCATGTATCAATACTTCATCTCCCACCAACTGAAGAACCTGTTACTGAATGACTAACATATTACGAAGCTAGTTGGATGATACAGTATACTTTTGAGGCAAATGAGTGATAAAAATTATGGCTTTTACTTTTGAGGAGCCTGGCCCCAGTAGTTTTGAAACTGGTGTGCCTGTTAATAAACAAAGTACATAACAGAATTATGGGGGCACATCACTTCATGCATTTCCACCTTTTTGAAACCCTTCTAAAACATGGTAAAGAAAACCAGTGGTAATATGCAGGTGCTGCTTCTTTCGGACACTGGTGCATCACTTCGGGCACTTGTCCAACATCTGTCTGGCAGTGCTAACAGATGGAAGACATTAATCATCTGTTCAGTGTTCCCACCTTGTCCATCCAACTTCAAATGTAACTGCACTGAGCTAGATGATTCAGCATCTGGTCTTTCAAAAGATAGCACATCACTCTCAAAGCTAAAAGGAAAAAGTTCACACTTCAGAGGCCTGAACCAATGCCAGAAGCATCCATGTTGCCTCAAGGTTTCTGACTCCCCGATGATCTTTAGCTCCTTGGGTACCGAGGCAAAGACAGGTCTGAAAGCTACAGAAAACCGGGGTGGGGTGGGGTTGTCCTACACTAGACTGTACCCCAGGCAATATAAATGGTGTTTGTTCACACCATGGATTAACTGCTTTGAAAGATCAAAATGCAGAAGCCAGCTTCATTAAACATTTAAGGTTTCTTAATAATAAAACACTACAAAATGTGAGTAAATCACACTTTTATTTTTCAGAAGGAAAAAATGACAAGTGGCAACTTGCCTTTGGAAAACACATTCAAGAATATTAGGGTAATAAGCTATCTATCTCACAGAGACAGTAGCCTAAAAACGACCATCATTATACAGCTCTCAAAGAAAGTCCTATTAAATAAATCTCAGAAGAAAATGTTTTCAACTAAAACAACAAAACAAAAACATTACCAACAACGAAGAATGATATGGAATCCATAAAATGGTATGTGAAGAAGGAAAAAGGGAAATCTGGAAATCCACATACTGAGAGCTCACTATTAAAATCAACATGGCCCAATCCTAAAACGGAAGAAAGAAATATATTAAACCACAGTATTTTAAGAGTCCAATGAGGTTACTGTAGGTGCACACCATAATGCTTCCCTTACTTCAACCAACTTTCTCGCTCTTGGGGCCCTTCCACGTATACTGTAGAGCAACCACATGAACGACAATGCAGACATCTGCCTTCTCAACAGGACTTTTGAGTTTTAGGTTTCAAATTTAGTCTGGAATCCCAATTAAATATTTATATAATAGGTCACAGAGAATGGAATTACTTTTTAAATTGCATTTGCTTAATTTTTATACATTATAGTTTGAAAACTACATACTTTTGAATGGGACACAACAATTTATAGTATGAAAATAAAGTTATGTGAAACTACTCAATCCTTCTCATTAAGAGTAATAACTTCCAAGATGAAGATGCTTCATATGAAATGATATAATTGGCAGAGTGGGGGCGGGAAGTGGAAAGCAACCAGTGGAACTCACAGAGATCTAGATGCGGGATTCAGTTTCACACTGATTACACTGACTGTGTCTTTGTCTCAAATTCCTTACCCTCAATTTGTTGTTCCCTGGTAAGAAGAGGCAGATGGATCTCTAAGCTTCGATTCAATGTTAAACCCAAAGACTTCTAACAGTTTATAAGAAATAATTTGAACAACTTTTGGACAATCAGTTAAGTAAATTCCTCAGATCTTGACAGGGTCTATCACTGTTCAAACTTACGACAACATCTATAAAGCATACCCCATAATTTTATTTAGAAAAGAAAAAATCTACCTTAAGGGCAAAATTATACTCATGTCCTATTTATACACTACAACGCAAATAGAAATAAATGTCTATTCCCTTCCTGGCCTCTAGACGCACTCTTGAGACAGAGCGGACTGGAAGCCCCAGGCTTCTGACTGTGGCCAGCACACCTAGCCTGTCTTTCCCTCTGCCCTGTCTCTAAAAGCTGCTAGGCATTCAAAGTGAACAATCACCTCCATGTTATATAGGACTTCCCCATTACAGAGAATGGTTATACCAGGAAATTGTTTTCCTGAGAAAAACCTAGCATTCCTGGAAGATTACTTATTAGAATAGACTAATGTACAGTCAAGGAAATAAAACCCTTATAGTAGCAGAATCCTAGAGAAGCAGAGAGTTGAAGCAGGAAGACTAATGGCATCTCTGACTTCTCCAAGTGTATTACCTATTTAAAGCTGAGGCCAATTAATAATTTTCATGGGCAGAGCCAAACTTTAGGTTACAATAAGTACTTAATGGTAGTTCAGGGTTGAGACTCTATCAACTTTCAGGTTTAGGAAAGAAGACAAAAAGAAAGAGGTTTAAAGATCATGGGAGAGAGAAACAGCAGAAAAGATAAGCTTCATTGAACTATCTACAACACATACTTTCATCGTAACCATCAAATACTACAGAATATCTTTTTGTTTTGATGTTATTTTTTTCCTGTGAACTTGGTCCTTTAACCATATTCACTGTGAAGAGAGTCTGAACTGAGAACTGCAGGAGCAACGAGATACATGAAAATCCTTTACAGAAGATTAGAGACACCTCAGACACATGCAGACCTGTGTTTCCTAAGAAGCCAAAGGAGAGTTTATAGCATTAAATGATCCTTTCAATTTCCCATGGTTCTCAAATTTCCATAATTTTACAAAGATAATATACGATAATTAAGATTACATAAACACATCACTTACTGTTTCTTTTAAAAATATTTATGGATACAACTGTGTTTTTCTAAATGTCTCATTGGTGATACTCAGTCGTATAAGTCTGGTTCCATAATAATCTATAATGTAACTGCTTCCATCTGAAGGCCCAACAATCTAGAAAAGAAAATTTTCAAAATTAGTCATTTTACAAAAAATATTTTCACAATACTTTTTTATTTTTGCCAGTTGTTAATAAAATTATTTCAGTAGCACCAATCAAAAAACTCTAACTCAAGCTAAAAAAAAAAAGTAATTTAGTGATTCATGTAGCTGAAAAAGATACTGGGGAAGTTCACAGGAACAAATGAGCTGTAGGACCAAGGCCTCAAGGACCAAAATTCCACGCTCCATGAAGAAGGACCCTAGTTGGGCCTCCCTGCCCCTTTGCTTAGCTCTGCATGCCTTCATCTGCAGAAAGTCACTCCCAATTGGCTGCCAACAGCTCTAAATTCACATTATCCACAGCTTGGTAGATCCCAATAGAAAGAAAGTAACATTTCCTTCCTCCGTGTTTTTATACCAGTTCCAAGGAAGGACTTTCATTGATCTGCTTGGTGTTTGTGCCAATTGCTGGACAAATGACTGTATCCCAAGAAATAGGATTAGTATGATTGGCAGGCCAGGCTCCCTGTGGGAAAAAAGGTAGTGTGACTAGGGGGGAAAAAGCTCATTATAATCATTTTGTTCCCTTAATCACATTTTTGACAATATAGTTCATATGGTCTCTACAAATTATGCTTTAAAGCAGCAATCTTTGAGCTGCAGGCTTAGGAATACACAAAGATTAACCGAGGTGTATGAGAGCCCAGATAGTTCGAAGGGAATAAATTTTGAGATTCTTAATTCCCATACGTACTCTGTAAAAGTGATCCCCCTGATGCCAGCTACAGTGGAGGCATCATGTTACTTTCCCTCCCCACTTCTTTCTCACTGGGGTCCTTTCTCTAACTTGACTATAAGTAAAGACACCTTCCATCAAGGCATATCCTGAGTCTTATGATGCACATTGCCTCGAGGTACAAAAATTTCTGATGCGCCAAACAAAGACATAATTCAAAACACTAGACTTGGGGAAATCTCCTGAAATCAAGAGTCCAAAAATATGCTCTGTCATATCACTTTACTTTTTTTTGCTTAAATGTTATTTGCTAAAATTTGTAACATGTTTATGCTGTTTTGCATCATTGTATATCATTAATAATTACAATGACAACTCAATCCAGAAATCACAGAATATTTAAAACCTCTTAATTTTAATGAGTAAGATGATCAGTAGAAAATTTTCAAGCATAAAAATATATTACACATTAGGGTAACATTCTGCAGGAGAATAAAAATAGAAATAAAAATTCAAGGAGGAAAAAGAAACAATGTAAAATTTATAATAGTTAGTAAAGGGTTCATTTGTATCTTTTTTAAAAGAGAATGGTATTTAAAGCTCTATGGTATTTATATAGTCAGATACATTTTAAAATTAATGTAACAGTTTCATTTAAATATGTCAATATTTACAAACTAAAAATTATATCCTTTGCAACTACTTAATTTTATGATGCAAAACTTAAATGTCAACTTAAAAACATGCAGAGGGTGGAAATTTTTTAAAAATTATTTTAGGGTTTATATAACCAGAGTCTAATGAATAGTGCTATAGAGCATTCTTCATTTTTAAAATAAATTTAGTTTTAAAAACTATTCAACAGACATTTATTTCCCATAATATTCCAGACACTGTGCTAGGTATTATACACATAACACTATTTAGGACACAATCTCTGCCAACAGAGAACTTATTCTAGTGACTATAAATGTCAATATTCAGATGACGCAGAGCATTTGTGTACTAGATACCATACTGAGTACTGTAATGCACTTTGACTTACTGTCTAAATTTTAAATAAAGTGATTTCCTTTGACATTTATGAATGTTATTTATAAATTTAAGTAAAAATTAAGTAAAAAACTTTTTTAACGGCCAAGTCACAAAGGAAACGAGAAGTAATCCAAGAAAGAGAAGAATGGGTGACAAGAAACAACAAGTTTTGAGACTGTAAAAGGGAAACACACAAAAAAGTAAACTCCAGCCAGTATATATAGGTCAAATCAAATGGTAAAAAACTTTGTGATTTGGAGTATGTCCATAGATTGGAACTGGGCCTACTGTCCTATTATCTTTCTCTTCCTATGCCAATTCTCTTGACAATCTCATTCCCATTTAAAAAACAGTATTCAGAAGCTGGAAATCAGGAAAATATATGATTGGGTGACGCTTTCATATCACGCATTTCTAATAAGCTCACCCCGAGGCTCACTTGACTCTCTCAGGAAATGTAACTACTTAACTGAAAACTGATTAGGACCCAGATGCTTTACAACCTTGTCAAGTTAGCAGTTAACATGTAGAAAAGTAAGGGTTATTTCTGTTTTGTTTCCCCTGTCCTGTAAGGAAGATATCTTCAAAGTTTACAGTTTTATTACCTCGTAATACATGATCCAATTTTGTCTCTAGTTTAGCAATCTTAATACAGCACCTTCCCCTCAAACTATGTGACTCTGGTTCCTCAGCAACTGGTTCTGTCATGGTAATTCCAACCCTCTTTCCAGAGGTTGGTTCACCCTGGGCATGCCATGAAATTCTGTCCAGTCACCTCAGACGAGTTCAGTCGGGGCCTATTTAAGAACATATGTGTGAGAGAAAACTTTCTGCCTCTGAAAGCAACTAGGTAAGTGATGCTAACCAAAGGACCTGAAGATGGCAAAGAAAAAGAAGGAAGGAGGGAGGGAAGGAAGGATAGATTTGGGTCCTTCAGCTCTAAATCAACAAATCTTAGAACTACCTTACCACCAGATTCTCGGTATATGATATACTAAGTTATATTATTAAAGGCAATTTAAATTGAGCTTTGTTACTTGTAGCCAAAAACTGATCATGCACTTGTCCTTAATGCCTCCTACATACTGCCAGATCACCAAAACACAGCACCAGTTGCCATTCTCTGCTAAAATAATTTGAAGAGCTGTTGCAAAAACAACCAAATTAAGACAGTGTGGTAAAACACTAGACTGAAAGGAAAACCTGAAGAAAAAGCTGTCAGTAACTAGCTGTAAGATTAATCCTCCCTGGACCTCTGCATTTCTTACCCATATAATGAGGAACAGAAGAATAAGCAGTTCTACATAGTACTTTTTAAGATCTTGCATAATTAAAATATTTAAATGCAAACACCTCTATAGGGTAGTCAATGTACTTTTCTATGAATTATCACATCAAAGAATTTGTTCTCCTTCCTTAATTTTTAAGAAAACTATCATCTTGTAAAGTCTTCATTATTCAAATCCATATTCCCCCACCAAAATTAAAGCTTTAGCCCATTTTAAGCATTTTATGTACACTTATAAATCCCCTAATTATATTATTGTATTGTTAACTATAAAATTATAAATCTCTAGGAATAACCTCTACCGGGAAGTTTTTTACTCAGTTAAATATGCCTATGTCCATTTGTTTATTGATGACAAAGTATGAAACCTAAAATTATGAGTTGATTTCTCTAAAAATAGCCTGAAGCCAAATAGTACACATGAAGTATTTCCCTTTGATATACTGGGGAAATTTCTGAAATCTATGGAAAGAAGAAAAACCACTCACATACTTCACTCCAATTAATGGAGTAAGAGGTTGCTACAGGCCTTCATCTTACAAGAGGGGAAACAGAAGGACCTCTACACTCTGGGAAATTGTTGTGAATAGTGGTTGTCAATGTACTGGTGTGAGAAGCCCGAAAGCCAAAAGAAAGCGACTTCATATTCCTCCATGTTAGTTTCCTGCAGCTACTGTAACAAATTACCATAAACTTAGTGGAACAATAGAAATCTATTCTCTTACAGTTTTGGAGGCCAAAGTCTAAAATCAAGGTATCACAGAGCCATATGCCCTGCAGAGACTGTAGGGGAGAATCCAATAGAAGCTGCTTCTAACTTCTGGCAACAACACCACTCCTCAGCATTCTGTGGTTTGGGGCCACATCCAATCTCTGCCTCTGTCTTCACACTACCTTCTTTTCTGTCTGTCTTTTCCTCCTCTGTCTCCTGTAAGGACACTGGAACTGAATTTAGGGCTCACCCAGATAATCCAGGATAATCTCCTCATATCAAGATTCTTAATCATAACCACAAAGACCCTTTTTCCAAATAAAGTGATATTCACAAATTCCAGGGATTTGACATGGGTATCTTTTGTTCTACCACACCCTCCTTCCACGAAGATGGTTGGTGGTTTGAAAGAATTGGATGAAATTTAATTTCTCCTTTCATATCATTTCTGATTATTTTCACTAAGAAATTTTATTTGCAGCTTAAATGTAAATAATCTTGAATTGTTTACATAAAGGAGTAAGTTTCTCTGTAGGTGCAAAGTCTACAGCAAGAAGAATAAATCAGAAAACTTTGGGAATACATATTAAAGAATGTTAAGAAGTGGTCTTCTTTATCTTTCGTCTCCACTTTAATTCTCTACAACACCTAGCCACCCACCCATAGGCACCCAAATGGGCATGCACTGAATTCAATATGTGACTTGGGTACATATTTGTCCTTGAAAAACACATGATGTTCTCTGAATATGTAATTTTAGTTTATCTCAGTAATACTGTTGTAGATCTTGTTCATTTTAAACCACTTTCACAGTACACTATGATTTTAAGATGTTTTCATGTAGTTGTACGTACATCTCAGTAAATGCATGTATTGCTGCCTAGTGTTACAGAGGATGCATCCATTCTCCTATTAGTGTACCTTCCTGGGTTGATTCTGGCCTCCTGTTACCACAAACAGTGCTGTAACAGACATCTCTGCACGTGTCCCCTTGTTGACAGGAGTTACAAGTTTTGGAGAGTAAATGCCTAGAAGTATCTCTTTACTTACATATGATTAGTTATTTGGGTGATTCTGTGAATCACCTATTAGTTTACTGTGCTCATTTAACTTTTAGGCTCCTCATCATTTTCTTATTGATTTGCAGAAATTATTTGTATATTCTACATATCAATTCCTGTTGCTAGTATCCTTTTACTCAATTAACTTGTTTATGGTATCCTTTTAAAACATAATTTCTT